CAATGTTGACCGAACACTAATGCCAGTCTGTTCTGAAAGGGAACTCCTCGAAATCATGTCATGACATAACTCATCTAGACTGAAACTACGAACAGGTATGTTTGTCGTTGCTACTACTTTGGTGGGCGGAAGCGATGAGACAGGTGCAAGAGGGTGATCGACTAAGCTAAGTGGGGAGTGTTGTGCATGGCTAGTGAGAGTGAGAGAGGTACGAAGCAGAGAGTAGACTAACCGTAAGGGAGAGTGAGCGAGCTTGAAGAGAAAGTGAGAGGGAAGAGGGAGTAATGTCGTCGTTGTTGACTCTGAATTTGGGGAAACAACTCCGCGCTCTAGTGCAAAGGGGCGATGAAATACTTGCTGGTTTCCAATGTTGAACCTTTGCATGCTTAAAACTGGTTTCTGATTGGCAGACACGATGTACCCTTCCACGCTTCGAGCATGACTCTGATCGCGCATGACAATTGTGATCGTGTGGACACTCTGTTTCCTTGCAGTTTGTACCGACCGCTTGCGCCTGCCAAGTGTCTCTGCCCGGACGGGGTTGGACATTGTCCCTGCAGTGCCTGCACCGCCATCGGTGCAACCGCTGCTGTTAGCTGCAGCATCCAATGTCGCCTCATTCCCCTGCCCACTCATTCCTCCGCCAGCACTTACTATATTCCCAATGTTGCCTAACCTTTTCGAACCACTGACTTGCGACCCCTGTACATCCGCATTCTCAGGTAATGTCTGCAAACGACATCCCTCTTCACTCTGATGCGACTCGATCACATGATCAGGATAAATTGCACGACTGGGCTTATCGAATTTGTCGATGATATCGAAACATGCCCTACGCATGATGAAGTCCAAACATTTTTCAACTCTTGTCTCCACGGACATGTGCCAGTAACTCTGCTTCCCGCTGCGGCCGTCATTGTTGACGATAGCTTTGTAGTTTCAAGTTTGTATAAATATATGTCCAATGATTCTTACACATTGTCGTCGTCCGATTGAACCCAGCAACAATCATCTTCGCGCTGACAAGGGTCCATACTTAGCGTAAAGGCTGGGCTCTACCAAACGCCTCCGAGTCCTCGTCAGGTGGCACCTTGAACTCACACCTAAGTATAATGAGCATAACTGTCTCATCATTTTTTCATTTTGGAGTTTTTACCTGCTGCTTCGCAACTTTGTTACTTCCCACCAGATGCTTTGCCCCACCTTTCCTTAGTGCACCAACACCGTCATCAGGCATACCCATAGGAGAACTACGTCGGACAATGTCGTCGTCGGATGCTCCCACATCACCACCCACATGAGTATCACTCCCACGTCCACTGCCACGCACATTACATTCATCCTGAGAAGCAACATCATCCAACCCAATATCCCCACCAATGCCTGAATCTGGCTGACCACCACCTTCGCCGGCCCCGACAGATGCACTATGTGAAACATTCTGGCCTGCCGGAGGAGCATTAAGATCTCCGATGGCGGTAGTGGCTTCATTTCCCCTATTCAGATGTCGTCCAGCAGGAATGGAATCCTTTCGTCTTTGTATGCGCCCAACCGAGTTGGGGTGTGATTTAGGATGTGATGGTTGCGATGATGCGAAACCGCCTGACATTGTTGCCACCACTGATGTGCAAAGACCAACTCCCGCCCCGATGGAAGCATTTGCGCACTGCGGATAAGCTGACCCCTTCCCCGTCCTATCAGGAACTCTCACTTGCACTGCTTTGCTTGGAACCTGTGAGGGACAATTATCAATCGCCTCAACTGCGGCAATAGATGGCACGCCTTCTGGATGGCAGAAAGGTACGTCCACTCCGAATGAGGGTCCGTGGGGTTGACCATACATTGGAGACAGGGAATCTATGCATGCACAGTGCGACCCTGAAGGTTGGGAAACTGCGTGATGTGAATGCAAGAACGTTGTGGACGACTGCTGAAATTCACATGTTGGCAACAAACATTGAACACCCTGCACACCAGCCGCTGTTATAGGAAGCGATGATCCATCCACGTTGTCTGGATGGGGATGAGGTGGGGCGGTGATGCTGCCAGTCGTGCTCTGTGATGCGAAGTAAGGAGGATGTATAACATCCTGCAGTGGCGGAACGTGAATTGAAGGGTGCAAACCCAACGACGACGAATATTGTTGCTCGCGCTGACAATGTGCATGCAACTACGGGTTCAATTCAACCGGATATGACTGATGCACCTCGTTTCTGTGTAACACTGCCATAAATGGCAATGCATGTGCATTCGAAGAAACTCCAATAAAATGACTTGAACTGTCGCCTCCCAACCCATGGATATGCTGCTGTAAACCTTCGTAGTCAATCCCCCAAAAAACACCGACATGAATTTTAAAGGTAGGACAGACAGAACGGGAACTGCCAAGATCCGGGTCAACCCCTATACCACGAGGCACGAACCCATACAAGTCCATCCCCGTGATTGGGACAATGAGGACTGAAGAACGCAGAACACTAGAGTGCACTCTTCATTAAAATAGTCTACAAACGTGGATAAAACAATAAAATTATACCCGTACGTGTGTGTGTGTGTGTGTGTGTGTGTGTGTGTGTGCCAGTGTGTGTGTGTGTGTGTGTGTGTGCSWGTGTGTGTGTGTGTGTGTGTGTGTGTCCCGTGCTGTGTCTAACTGAACTTCAGGCCGCAGAAAACACGGAGAAGACAAACACCATAGCCATATATGGTGACGTGCGCATCCTGCCAACAAAAGAATTCCCCGCAATAATAGAGAGAGTGACTTAAAAAACAAAACAAAAAAATAGGAACCCTCGATCACTGACTGGAGTGATGGGCACTGGTCCACATCTTATACTTGTCCCAACCACCACGGCCAATAGATGCCATGCCACACCAGAAACTTTGCTACATCCAACCTCTGGACTGTTGGGACAGGCCTACCAAGGGCATTGTTCGACACCGCCAGAGAACCCTAGAGTCTCAAGTGCAGCATACCTTTCGCCTGGGGTGTGGTCCCACCAGCAGAGAGGATCGGATCGAATGCCTGAATCTGGACGTGTTTGTCGAGAGGTGTAGGAAATCGAGATTGAATTGGTTTTCTGCATCTCTGAATAAAACACGTTCAGATTCAGGCATTCGATCCAATCCTCGTTGCTAGTGGGACCTCGGACCTGCTTTTCCTAGCGGGGCTAGGTCCCGCCAGGAAATCAAAATTTTATTTTACTTATTATTATTATTATTATTATTTAAATAAGGAAATGGAACTCTATTGAACGCCTGAATTTAGATGTTCACCGTGGAGAGATGCAGAAAATAGAGATTGAACTGCTTTTCCGCATCTCTTCCCAAAATAATTTTTCCATTGGAGGTTGTGGGTTCAAGCCCCATGGCCGCCTGCGGCGCACTTAGTGCCAACGGACTGTGATAGTCCTCTGGATACCCCTGATTGGTATTAGCGGGGTCTATGACCAACATGGGTGTGAGTGTGAGCGCGAGTTGGTTGTGTGTGGTGTGTGGGAGACTGTTGGCCATAACCTCTGTTGCTACTCGATGAAGGGTGGGGGACGATGAGAAAGGGAGGCACAGCTATTGGCAGGCCTCGGGCTTCGACCCCACTGCTCGGCGGTTGGAAAAAATGGTTGGCCGCGGAAAACGGCCAACGCCGTCTGGAAAAACATTTCCAGAAAAAGTCGAGGCCCCACCGCCACGGTCTCGCCGGCTTGTGGAAAAGGACTGCCATTCCCGAAATGCACCCGTGGAACGGAACGCTCCCACACTTGAACGGTGCGACGCACCACTGTTGTCCGTGCTTTGAAGAAACGGTCCACCCGATAGTGCACTGGACCAGGCCACCCGTGCCCTGGTATGGCATCTTTAGGGATGCCCCCCCCCGTCTCAAAAAACATTGGTTTTGGAAAACAGTCACCGGACGGTCTGACAGTTTTTTCCAGCCGCCGACCATGTGGAAACGCTTCCGACGGTTTTCCACGACACTCTGGCATTGGCAGTGGGGTCCGAATTCGCATTGGCGCACCTTCCTGGCGGTCCAGTGGGGTCCCGTAAACATGGAAATGGAAAATGACTTCCACACCGCCGGCCAGTGGGGTCCAAGCCTCGGTCTTTGTGTTAGCCAGACCCCCACTGGCGGCCCCAACCCTATACCCTAATCATTAGGGGCAAGGGGCAACATGAAATCTCCCCTTCACAGAGAGAGGAAACTATGCTTGCAGGGGTCCCCTCTAGATAGTCTTAGGAGTAGGTAGTGGAAGGCAAAGAAACAAAAGTTGAAAGAAGAATATAGAAAGGAAAAAAAAAGAAAAGCTTTCGGATTCTTCCCAAAAAAAAAAACGTCCCAGTCCAGGGGCCAAGTCCCACAGGGTTGAGCTACCTCAACGCCTGAATCTGGACGTGTTTATGGAGACGGGCAGTTCATGAAACTCAACACCATTTCTGCACATCTCCGCAAAAACGTCCAGATTCTGGCGTTGAGGTAGCTCAACGCTGCTAGTGGGACTTGGCCCCGGATTCAGGAGCTTAATATGATGTCCGACATTGACGAACTTGTCTGCGCCTTTGCACCAGATGGAAATGTTACCTGCCGTACCAGAAATTATTAGTGATGCGGGTTCGCCGGAAGTGCCACATCGTTGTAGCCAGCCACCCTGATACGAAAGTGGTAGCCAGCCACAACGATAATCGAGGCCTCCACATGCCAATAAACTATACACTTCCACAAAGAACCGCCCGGACCGCTTCCGAAGGGAAGGTGTTTTCGCTCCTGCGCTGCCACGCCTTAGATATTCTTGCATCGAGGTGCTGGTGGGACCTACACGTAGCCCCCGGACACAGGCGACTGGGGTGGGGACAGGCGGTTGGCCGGTCGATTTTGAAGTCGGCCTTTTTGAAACTCCCGCCAGCCGATGCTGGCAGCTTCACGAGTGACTCCTCTATTCGAAGCCACTGCCTGGATCCATTTCCGCCGAAGCCACTGCTTGCAGCCATCTCGAGCGAAGCCACTGCTTGGAGCCACCAGCGTGAGCAGCAGCCGCTGGGGCTCTCACCGCTCCAGCGACGCTCGTTGACAACGCCGCCAGCCAACAAGGTCAGTCTCTCTCTCTCTCTCTCTCTCTCTCTCTCTCTCTCTCTCTCTCTCTCTCTGTCTCTCTCTCTCTTTTCGCACTTCTGGCATATTGGAAAGTGTGCCTGGTTGGTTGGTTGTTGGATCGGTCGGCCTTCCCTCCTGCATTGAGACTCTCTCTCTCTCTCTCTCTCTCTCTCTCTCTCTCTCTCTCTCTCTCTCTCTCTCTTGCTGGTTGGCCTTCTCTCCTGCAGTGAGAAGGGGTTCGCAACTCCCCCCAACTCTGACTTCCCCCCCACCATCGTGCAACTCCCCCCAACTCCGACTCCAATC